ACTGAGGAAATGCATGAAGGCCATGGAATCATTCTAGGAGGGTATTCTAGTTATGGGAGATGACCTCAACATTTCTTCTCATTTCAACATTAGATATCACCTCACAGATGCCATCATACCAAGCATCAGCCAGGAAACAAATCAACTCACTACTTGACACAGCTCAGTTCTTTGACAGCTGGCGCATAACCCAGCCCTCCATGATGGATTACTCCTTCTACTCACATGTCACGGGATCATACTCTAGACTCGACACTCAGATTCCTTCACCTAATTAAAAAATGCCACTATGGTCCCATCACGTGATCAGACCACGCACCCCTGTTCCTGTCCATCACTATCCCCTCACTCCCACTTACGAAGTTCCAATGGAAACTAAATGATCTCTTACTTAACAATAAAAAGTTATCTCCCAAATAAATGAAATGCTGACCCACTACTTCCAAGATAACATACTCCCCTCCATATCCCCTATCATCACCTGGGAGGCACATAAAGCAGTAGTAAGAGGCCACCTTATCGCCCTCGCCTCTAAAATTAAAAAACAATATAATGCCCAAATTACTGATTTGGTACATGAGATCAGGCTTCTGGAAGAGCAACATAAACAAAACCAGTCACTAGATGTATACAAAAAAAAACTGATTTCCCAGAGATCCACACTGCAACAACTACTCAACACAAACATTAAAAGGAGACTTCTACTGACGAAACATAACTACTATGCTACATGATACAAGGCAAACAACATTCATACTGAAAATCAAAACAAAATCGGGTAACATTGCACACACTCTCCCTGACATACTCACAGCATTTCATGACTTCTATTCCTCACTCTACAACCTTAGAGAAACCCCACCAGATGCACAAGAGATCAAACAATACCTGGCAGACTGCACTTCACACTCATTTATGTACGTAGTGGTGAATCATGATGCAGCATACTAACATAAAACTAACCCAATTACCACCCAAATAATGACAGACAACGTAGTATGGCTGAAACAGGCCAAGGCATTTATTATAACATATGACAAGCACTGTATAACACATCAATAATTTATTTTAAACTTTAACTTCACTTGATATAAATCTAACGTCAAACATAAATAACCATAACTTAACAAATAGTGTCATACAGTATAACCCAACCATCCTTGCCAATATACTGACCTTGAGCCTATGCACCACTTCTTCTCACCTCCCCTCTCGGCATAAATTCCTTTTCCTTCCAATGCTTACCACAAGCCAAACTTTTCCTCGCTCGGTGGGCACGTCATAACAGGTAATCTATGGTTTACTCTTTAGAGCAGGGGAGGTTGAGACCTGAAACTTGAGCACTTAATACACATTTTGACATAACCGCCTCAAACTTAATTGGCAAGGACATAATCCCGGCTAGCTACGACTAAATATACCAATGGGGCGGGCAGGACGGAAGCAGTTTGCTGGCCCGAATCCCAAGTGGCACTGAGGTAAGACCACCCCACCAAACTCACACACCACATAATCCCACCTACAAAACCAATCACACGCATCTATCCCCACACTCATACATGTGCCCTTGTCTGTGCTATATCCCCAGGGTCTAACTCAGTGAAGCTCTGCATTTTACATCCTGCAGAAACACCTACCACTCTCAGGCCTCACTTCACACTCAAACTCAGTGAAGCTCTGCATTTTACATCCTGCAGAAATACCACTCTCAGGTACTGACAATTTTGTTAGATACATTTATTCTTGGATTGCTACCATATTATCATGTATTCCTATAGAATTGTTACCATTTATACCTGTAGTTTGCCACTGTAATTTTCTGTGCATGCAGTTTGTATTCTTGTCATTCATGTTTCTGACCAATATTTCATGTACACAGTTATGAATATATTTGGTGACAGAATTTGGTTGGTAAATTTTCCAATTGTATTCAACAAATGGCTATATACCTCTCCCTCTTCTTTGCTATCCTCCTTATAGCGGTAAATACCTTCATATAACTGTATAATCTCCTTCTCTGTTCTTTAGGCCTTACTTCACACTCAAACTCAGTGAAGCTGAGCATTTTTTCTCACCACAGAATCATTCCTACCCTCAAAGTATGGCCATGATCCCCTTCCAAGATTTCTCTAACACCCCATACCTCAGACTAGGCAAGATGATTTCCCTAACAGTCATTCGCCAACTGCAGGACCTTCTTTTTCAAACACAACCCTACCCAATACTACGATTCCGACATTCACAGGTAACGCATTTCCTGATCTACACAACAGAATTGTTACAAGGCACCAGAGACATGACATGCTTTTAAAATCTCTGTTCCAATCGTATCCTCAAACCAAACATTTATTCACGTTATACAAACTAATCCAAAAAGACACCTCACCACCCCACCCTACATACATGACAGGATGGGAAGAGGAACTTCACATCTCCTTCTCCGACACTGAATATACACGCCTTTTTTCCAACATCTTCCACACCTCTACTCTACTCAAGAAAGTAAATATAAGAAGATAGCAAGATGGCACTACACTCCCTCATGCCTGCACCACTTACTCCCTCAAACCTCAGCACAATGCTGGAGGTGTCAGCAAAGTAAAAGCAGTGATAGCTGTATAGCAGTTCCCTACAATAAAAGACAGAACTCTGCATTGAGGGTGAAGTAAGACTGTTTTAATGGTAGCCACACTAGCCTTTTATGCAAGTCCTCATCCAAGGGATACAACCAATAATAACAGAGTTGTACAGTGTGACACTCCTAAACAGGACATGCAATCCCTCTCCTCTGCCTGGGAGATAATTGAGTCAACTACTGTCTTTAACTCAATTATCTCCATGCGAAAAATGAACATAATTTATATACAATTTAAAAGTACCCCCAAAACACCTAGTATCCCCACAAAAAGCATATTTCTTGATAGCCCCGATCTGGGGGAACAACATATTCAAAAATCACCCAGATCGGTTCAGGGGTTCAGGAATTAAATGGAGGTCTTATTTCTGACCGGCCGCACACGAGGCTCCTGCCCAGAATAGTTCCATAGAATCAGTCTGTGCGGCCGGTTTCCTTTACAAGTACCCAACTAGTGTTTATAGGGAAAATAACCATTCGTGTATTTTTTATCATAGTCATAGAGGTTCGGGAGATGTTATTACCGAACGGTGTCCATTTCGTACATATAATGCCGAACATTCGTTAGCATGGAAGTCTTGGCGTCGTTCGTGCCGTTGAGTGTCCGATTCTAGTTCCGTGCAATTGGCGACACAACACCGCTGGCCGCATTCGTATTCCAAGATGGCCACCGCCACGTGTTAGGCCATACGAACACCGACCACCCATTCGACCACTTAGAACGTTGGGGTGTTTGCGGTTAAAGGTTAACAAGCACCACACTCCGCATCTGGGTAGTCTGTTCTGTAGTTCTTTCATCAGGTGAACAAATAATGATAAAATAGGGTAGAACTATACTTGGTCGAACAGATAGGCGAAAGGGTAATATAAATTTTAAAATTCTGGGACAGAAGATCTGTCACAGCATGAATAACTCATTTAAGTCCTTGGTTAATTTTACTCCTAGATAAACCAACTTGAAGTGCAAAGCTTAAACTTAAATTGTTTTATTAAGTATGAAATATCATTATCACTCAAATTTAAATTCAAGGTTTGACTTTTTGTTTTGTTGACCTTAAAATTAGATAGTATGCTAAATTCCTGGAGTTCCATTACTAAATATGAAAGTGAACTTAAAGGATTGAGATGTTTAAGAGGATGCCCTCTGCATAAACTGCAGTTTTAATCTCAAACCAGATATATCCTGATTATGTCTAAAGAATTCAACAGGAGTTCCATAGTAAGTATAAAAAGTGTTGGAGACAAGGGGCATCCCTGTCTGGTTCCATTATACATTGGTATGACTTCTGATAACATCCCATTGATTTTAATTTTCGCAGTCGGAGAAGAGTACAAGGCTGTAATCCAACGGATATAATTAGGTCCTAGACAGATGCGATATAATACTTCCATTAAAAATAGCCAATTTACACAATCAAAGGATTTTTCAAAGTCAATTGCCAACAAAATTGATGGCATTTCGCTATTTGTTGCAAGATGAATCACATTCAAAGCCTTGATCGTGTTATTACCAATCTCTCTTCGTTTAATAAATCCAGATTGATCATCATGTATTAATTCTGGAATAAATTGGTTTAATCTGTCAGGTAGTATTTTAGTGAAAAATTTTAAGTCTGTATTTAACAGTGAAATTGGTCTGTAGCTACCACATACATTATCTTTCCCTTCTTTCAAAATGAAGATAATGTTTACCTCTAGCATTGATGGTGTGAAATTATTTCCCTTGAGTATAAAATGTAAAGCATCAGCTAGGAAAGGAGAAAGTTCTTGTTGTAAAAGTTTATCATATTTTATGGTAAATCCGTCTGGTCCGGGACTTTTCACAATGGGAAAAAAATCAATTGCTAATATTTTTCTACAGTTATTTTCTCATCTCTGTAGTGTTGATAATCTTCTAGAGATATTTTAGAAGCATATTTTTTCTCTCTAAGTTTTGATCAGAAGAAGAACCCTGTTTATAAATATTTTATATGCTTGTATAAAAATCCTTAAAAAATTATGCTATGTTTCTAGATTTATAATGGGAATTCCTGGAGTTAACTTTCCATTTTCTGAATAAAATTCCTATTATGCAGTTCTTTAAGCTCCCATGATAATTATTTCCCAGGTTTATTAGCTTGAGTGAACGTTATCTTATTAACCCCTTAAGGACAGTGTCCTGGCTGTCCTATTCACTTACCCAGTCGCCGGTGATCCCATGCCAGCGATCGTGGTTGGGGCACTCACCTGGCATCCCAGGGAGTCTCCCTGCTACCATTCCACCCTGGACAAATGGTAGTGGGTTCAGTGCTTGGTGGTCAATAGGAATCTAAAAATAAATGTGGGAATGGCTGCAACCTAGAAATATGACGTTCCCTCACAGATCGTCAAAAAAGAATGGATCTAGAAAATAAAAATTATAGGTTGCGCCACAGAAAGACAATAAAAAAATATGAAAAAAATCTTTTTATTGTCTTTCTGTGGCACGACCTATAATTTTTATTTTCTAGTGCCATTCCACCCTGCCTGGGCCATGTGATCATGAGGTCCTTGTGAGGACCTCACGATCACATATACGGCATAGCCGTCCACAGCAGTGCCAGCAGGGGGAGTGCCTGGAATGACAGGTATTCCCCCTGTTGCCTGAAAAAAAAAAAAAAAAAAAAAGGTTTCAAATACAATTATATATACTTAGATGTCTAAGTGTATTTTAATATAAATATATATTATATATATGCATACATACATACATACATACATACAGAAAATAAAGAAATGCACTCTTAGGACTTAAATGAAAAAAGGAGGTAGTTTATTTCAATAGGTATAACATCAAAAATTGCAGACGTTTCGACCCATTTGGGTCTTTCTCAAGGTCCTTCAGAAAGTCCCGAATGGGTCGAAACATCGGCAATTTTTGATGTTATATATGGAATAAACTACCTCCCTTTTTTCATTTATTAAGTCCTAAGAGTATATATTTCAATGTGGGATTGCACCTAGGCTTTATTGGATTATATACATGAAAGGGTGAGTGCCAAGAAACACAAATATATATATATGCACTCCAGGGAATTCCAAGTAGAAAGAATAAAACTTAGCTTTTATTAACTCAAAATAAAAATCTATTTTTCAGTCTGTATCACAGACTTTCATCGGGATGAGCTTGCAAATCAAATCCATAAGAATATATACCCCCAATATCCCCATAACTTACCCAGGTTGAAGATAGGAGTGATCCCAGGGGCACCTGACCAGCAGCCTGCTCGGGTCAAACAATTGACCCTGATGATGTCATAGACGTGTGCCTCCCAGGGTCGTTCCCATAGCAACCCAGTATAACCAACAAAATAATACATATACATATAACTAAAAACATAGCCTGCATACAGGAATTATAAATGTTGAAGAAAGACCTATACACCCCAGCAGGGACCATTTAGATACAGAGAAAATCCTTAGAGAACACGTTAGAGATAGAAAACAGGCAGAACTAATCGAAAAGCGATCAAACTGCAATTAGCCTGTAGAAACCTATTAACAAGATATAAATATACAAACTGTACTACCTCAGGAATAGATAATGCATAAAGAAAACATGTAACTTATACTACAAATACAAAAATAAAATGCAGGCATGAGCAATCAAACCTGCAGAGATTCCAATCTAACTACAGGGAGCAAAGTACCAACAAACAGCAATTGAAAGCATAATTGTACCAAGAGTAATGTATCACTCCTAATCCTTAGAGGTCATTATACAGGTAAAAAGAGTAGTAAAGAATATATGTGAGAACTTCTTAGTCAAAAAAGGGAGAAGACATAAAAAGATGATGCCAGATAAAGGGTGATTAAATATCCACCAACTAAACCTATGGGGAAAAGAACGTAATGCACAATAACAAGAAGATACAAGTATAGCCACTAAGTAGAGCTGCAGTGATCTAAAGAGAAGAGGGTACCAAGAATAACTGGTGTACTCCCAGTCTAGTCCAACATGAACACATAAATAAATATATATATAACCAGGGCCAGATTAAGAGCCCAGTGGGCCTGGTGCTGACAATTACGACGGGCTTAATTACAGAATCATATCAACCAAAAACAATAAAACACTCCCAAGCGTCATGTATCTGATGGAGATGGTGCTGGAGAGAAAGAAAACAGCAGCTATAAGAAAACACATACCCTAGGCTAATCTCTCACTAATTTATGTTTTCATCTTTCAAGTAAATCCATAACCCCTAACAGCAGTGTCCAGTCAATTAGGAAGTCAATGGGCACGGTAAAAGGGTGTGCCACTGACACAAATCACGTGACCTGCCAAAAGGGGCGAACATGCCCAAAAAGAGGGTATGTCTGCCCAAAGAATTAGAAGGCCAATCTGGCATGAATGCATGTCAGGATGTCTGCCAACCATGCAGCTGGCCAACTAAGGGCATACTATGCAGACAGCACCCTGAGCTTGGCATAAATGCATCTAATTATGCGCTCACTCAACGCTTTCTAAGGACTGTTCCCTAGCACTCGCTGGTCCACTTGTCTTCTTACCTTCTTACTAGCAGGCAGAAGCTCCTGGTATATAGTCTGGGACAGAGAAAAGCTGTATGTAGTGAGTGTAGAAGAAATGGAACATGCCACAGTGTTAGAGAGACCAAAATCAGCATTACCTTAAAGGATCACTATAGGGTCAGCAACACAAACATTAATTCATGACCCTATAGTGTTAACAACACCTTCTAGCCCCCCTGGGCCTCTCATGCCTCCATAAATATAGCAAAATCTTACTAGATTCAAGCCTGAAGCTGTAACTCTGCATGCTGTTAGACTCATAAAAACAAGCAGTCTGCTCACATCATTAGAAGTGGTGGCCTGATCCAATAACAGTGCTTCCCCATAGGATTGGCTGAGACTGACAAAGAGGCAGATCAGGGGCAGAGCCAGCATGATTCAAACACAGCCCTGGCCAATCAGCATCTCCTTATAGAGATGAATTGAATTAATGAATCTCTATGAGATAAGTTCAGTGTCTGCATGCAGAGGGAGTAGACACTGAATGTTTGGATGCATGTTAGGCAGCCATGACCCAGGAAGGATCTCTAACAGCCATCTAAAGAGTGGCCAGTGAAGATATCACTAGGCTGTAATGTAAAGACTGCATTTTCTCTGAAAAGACAGTGTTTACAGCAAAAAGCCTGACGGTAATGATTCTACTCACCACATACACATACATTCTACTCACCAGAACAATTAAATAAGCTGTAGTTCTTCTGGTGACTATAGTGTCCCTTTAACTATATTCATTGTCAGCCAGTCCACACAAGTTTTGTTCCCATACATCCCTCTTAAGTTTCCATACTTAAGTAAGAGTATGTGAAAAGTAGTTAGGGTTGCCACCTTTCTTGGAAAAACATACCGGCCTTACTAATTTGCATAATTAAATATGTATGGGTGACATCACATGATGTAAATCACAAGGAGTGACATAAGAGAAAATTCTGTAAAATCACCAAAAAACTACTTAGTTTGATTCTGCTGTATAGATGGATTCCTCCCAGTGCCCTCATGACTCAGTGCCCCCATGTGTCGATTACTCCAGGTCTCAGTGTTCCTATGTATCACAGTGTCTCAATGCCCCATGTCTCCTTGTGTCCCCATGTATCCCAGGGTCCCCATGTCACTAGGACACTAGGAAGACGGGGAGACCTGGGGACACAGGGAGACCTAGGCACACAGAGACACCAGTGACACTGGGAGACTAGGGGACTCTGGCTGGGACACATGGGGACAATGGGAAAATAGGGGACACTTGAAGACATGGGGACACAGACACCAGGGCCATGGACACTAGGGACACTAGCTTGGAGACATGAGGACATTGTGACACTTGAGGCACTGAGAGACATGGAGGCACTAGGAGACATGGGGACAGTGAGACACTGGCAGACTGGGGGCACTGGGAGACTAGGGGGCACTGAGACACTGGCTGGGAGACATGGGGACACTGTGTCCCCATGTGTCTGTCATAATGTCTCCCAATGTCCCTTAGTGTCTCAGTGTATGTCTCCTTGCAGCCTTTCTCCCCATCCCTTACTTCCCTAAGCTGTAGGCTGTCTCTGCAGGGTGGAAGTTGCTGTCTGGACTCTCTGTAGCTGCACCCCTGCAGATCAGTGAGTATAGATAGGCAGGGAGGGATATGCTGGAACTCCCTATCCCTGCCTGTCTCCACATACAGCGACCCCTACTGGCCAGTGCTGGTATTGCATAGTAATCTCTTGTTTATACTGAGAAAAATACCAGCATTTGTATTGCCAGTATCACTGCAATATTGGCACTAGCCAAGCAGCCTCAAATACTGGCTGTGCCAATAAAATAAAATCCCTAAGAGTAGTGTGTGAAAAAAAAAAAAAATGTAAAAAAAAAAAATAAAATTTTTTTTTTCTTTTTTTTAAATCAATGGGCCTATTCCATGGGCCTGGAGCTGCAGCTCCATCAGCCCCTATGTTAATCCGGCCCTGTATATAACTCAAACATTCAAGCAGCAGAGCAAAGAACCAATGCATCCCCGAATCTATATAGACCGGCATACATCACATAATATATACAGAATACAAAATAATACAAGTGAGGGACATAAACCAAAGGTCCTCAACAAAATCACATTGTTATAGACTTATATAGTAATAAACCTATTAGCACTGGGTGGAATGGGTAATTGAGACGCCTATCCCCCAGGGTGGGCTGTCTCTTAACCCTAAACCCGTCCGCCATCAGACAGATAACATGAATCATCCTAAAGAATTTTATAGTTTTTTTAGTAAGGAGCACAAAATGCATTAGAGTCATAGGCTGAAATTAAGAATGGCTAAAGCCCTTAATAAGTGCCAACAACTTGCTAAATATGTGAATAGCAAAGCTGTATAATGGGAAGGATATTAGAAATGCCTATCCCCCTGGGTGGGCTTTCTCGTTCCCCTATCAACCAAAACCACGATACCAATATTCACAAAAATACTGCCAATTAGTATTTTTCATTCAAACCAAATGGCTGAACGGTGTGTAGAGTCCTAATCCAGTAAAGTGCATGCTGCAATAACAGCTTACTGCGGTCTCCACCTCTGCGCAAAGGTCTATGGCCATCAGTTTCAGGGTACTGTCGGAAGTGTTAGAGTGGTTAGAAGACTGAGGAAGGTAGGAGTGTCTTTCAGGACTGTATCTAGGTTCTCGATAGTGTCTCTGTGTATGAAATAATATATCTATATACATAAATATATATATATAAAAATAATAAAAATATATATACATATATACACACACACACACACATTTACACATATGTATATATTTATGTAATATGTTTACATAATTAGGTCATTTTATTAATTACAATTTGCGGGACCTGTCTGACAACCCAGAAAGCAGAGCCAAGAAAAATTAAAAGGCCTTCTTGCAGGGATGTATGGTGACTTGGGGCTAAGGAGAGATAAAACAGTTACAGTATATACTCGAGTATAAGTCTAGTTTTT